ATATGTGTGTGTGTGTGTGTGTATATATATATGTGTGTGTGTGTGAGTGTTAGTGCGTGGGTGTATATATTTATGTATGTATGTATGTATGTATGTATGTATGTATATAAATATATATATATATATATATATATATGTATATCCTTTGAAGTTTTGTAGAATAGTGAAGGAACGTATGTTTGCCATTAGGCTAGGTTCAACCGTTGAGAAGTTATTCGTTTTCTTCATCCAATGGTCCGAACTTGTAGTGATTCTCTGCAAATTGCAACTGACTATGGTTTCATAGAAGTACTGCTACAGATACCTTTCCGCCTGTTATGTCTATAGCTTATCCGGCATTGCAGTCATTTGGGTTTCGAGTTGAGTTTATATTACCTTGCAATTCCATGGGCTTTTCTATGGCTGTTTTTTTTTTGCTCGCCCAGTCACTGATGTCCCTTTCTTCTAGCGTGGCTCCTAGTGTACCCGTAATCGACCTCACACATCTATTCCCTCTACACCTCACACAATCGGGCTCAGGGGGACACATCGACCATTGCCATGGACCGGTCCTCCCTATGGTATGACTAGTAACTGAGCGCGAATTAGGCAGCTGATGTACTTCCCTGAGTACTTCTAGTCGCTTGCAGAGCTTGCCGCGTTTCTCCTTTTGACAGATGGATATATAGTGCGTGCATATAGTGTTGTATCGCCATGTATATGTTTATGATCATATCGGCGTGTTTCTGACCATATCTTGAGAAAACACACTAACATAGAAGCTTTTTGACACCGATTTTAGCTATATCGACTTTTGGACTCCGCATGCTACACCCACTCCTTCCTCAAGTCTAGCTATCTTATTCCTACCGGTTTGGACCTAATGATTAACCCCCCTCCCCCCTGCTTTGTAGGCTATCACCCGCCGCACTGTGCTTGTGGGACGGCCCAACGGAACCTCTACGGTCCGATTCTCAACAGACGGTGGTCTCCCAGACTTCGAATTTGAAATATCTCCTAAGATTTTAGGTGTGAGTGGTGCTGGCACACGTTCGTCGGGATTGTTAGAGTTTAGATTTTGTGTTCACACAACTCTGAATATGTGGCTTCTTTCTGCGCGCAGCGGAATTGAGTGTATATTAGCTTCTATCATGTCCTAGCGTCTAGAATATATTTATTCATCCGGATGTCCAAGTTTCTTCAGTCTCAGATACACCACATTACCAGCTTCAAATACGATCCGCTATTCAGTACATTCATTCACTACAACTCCCCACACAGTGCCCGAACACATACGCAGCCCCGACCGCCTAATCAGGACCATGTATCTCACACATCTGCTTACCCGAGCCTCATGCCACACTCACCCGCAGAACCCACTCACGCCAAGGCAACGCCGTTCTGGTCCAACTATATCATCGGTGTGTTTGCGCAGTTTCCCCGTAACATTCAAGGACTCGATGTGGTGGTGCACTCTGACATCCCAATGGGTGGGGGGTTGTCCTCATCGGCTGCGCTCGAAGTAGCAACGTACACGCTACTGGAAGCACTGACGGGCGATACCAGCCGTACTGCGGTGGATAAGGCGCTGCAGGTGAGACGCTTGCAAGCCACGTGGACCTTGTTTCGCGCTGGTGCTTGTGTTTGTGCGAGCTGTTGTAGTGTGTAGGATGTCTGCCTTAAAAATGCGGTTAAAAGTAGCCATTCTTTTGTCTACAAAGTGTATTGGTCTGATGTTTAAGGCTACAACGGGGTTGCTGTTAATGCGCAGCGTACTGTAGACTATAGTTGCCACTGTATCCAATTACTGTTTCACATATGAGGTGTAGTATCAGAACGACGTTGCTATTTCCAAAATACACTCAACAATAGTTGTAACTGTACCTACACGTGCTTCTGGACTCGCGGTATCTCTCCTTACTCACAGTGCATGAAGGCCGAGAACGATTGGGCCAATGTTCCGTGCGGCTGTATGGATCAGACATGCTCAACTATGGGTCAAGCAGGCACACTCCTCCTGGTCGACTGCCTAACCATGGGTATCACCCGCATCCCTCTCTACCACGGTGTCTGTTTCCTAGTGGCCGATTCGGGACACAAACACAAATTAGAAGGTGAGACGCATGGTGTGGTTGTAGCCGCGTGTCCGTGGTGATAGTAAGCTTACGCTGGTCTGACTGCTGTGTGAACCGCCCGTCCCACACATGCTTAACGTTGCACCTATGACTACGTTTTTGAGTGCGAAGCATCCTCTGTGAATCGCCCGATACATTGAGTTGTACATACATGTGCACCTGTTAGCTCGCGCTGGGCGATATAGAACATATGCTCACCTAGCTTTTGAAGCTCTTGACCGACTTGCGTTGATGAATCGGACCTTCGGTCCAAAATGTGAAGCCTTTGATGTTTGCTTTCTACATATTCCAGCGATGATACCGTTGCAGAGTCCAAGCTATACACGTACTCCTTAGGAATGCGAGTGTGTGTAGTTGGTGTTCAGTTGTAAAATCCGTGCATAAACAGCAGTATGAATCTGTGAGGGCCATCACGTGCACAATATCGTGCGCCTTACAACGCAGCTTAAGCAAATGAACTCAAACACTCATATACCAACCCCTGACCAAATGAGTGGTGCAAGCTACACATTTATAGGGACAGATATATACTTTTAGGGACCGAGGCCAAATTAGCAATCTAAATGCTGATCTCTGATCATGTACTCAGACTGTCACCAGCCGACTAACTAACCTTGAGCACCGACTGCAACAGGGTCTGAATTCAAGAACAGGAAAGACCAGGCGGCCGATGTCAAGGCAATCGTGCGGAAGACATTCCCAGATGTCCAGTCGCATCAAGATATCACACCCGAAATGCTGGAAGCAGTGAGAAAAGATATGCCTGACACAACGTATCGTATCGGTGTCCATGTACTCACTGAGGTGTGTGGTCCGGTTGTCTTCGATAGACAACACACTTTCAGTGCGTGAGTCACAATCCCATCTGAAGCAAGGGAACTCCTGTTGTTTTGCAGGTTATGTAAGGCTACTCGCATGATTTACAAGTACGTTGAGGTGCGTCATATTGATTTGGCTAATTGTGCAACCTGAAGTAGCCATTTTGTGTCGTGATGTGCGAACTTGTGTTGAGTAGTCGTACATCCTTACGAATGCAAGCACTTCTTGTGCAATGGGAAGGGCCGGTATTCCGTTTGTGTGTTTACCATTTTACAGGTCAATGTGGCTACAGAAGAGCGTCAGACCAAAATTCTCACTAACATATCATACTACTGCTCCACAATTCTGATACTATAGATTAAGCGTGTGCACAGATTTGCTGAGATTATGGTTGAGATTGAAACTGAGTGCAGCGCAGCCGACTCCGACACCCATACCAGCGATACCATTGAAGCGAAACTCCGCCAAGCTGGGCAATTGATGTTTGAAGCGCACAACTCTTCAGCTAATAACTACTGCGTATCCACACCAGGTTTGTAGGGTGTGCCTTTACTTGTACGCGTGTGTTTTATGCTATTCGATGTATCGTACTGGAGAGGATTTCTCGCCTGGACATGGTATGAATTTGTATATTCTGAATTTGATTATCCGACCTTCTCCCTGCGGATATGATGCAACGAGGTGAATTTCTCTGTAATTTGCGAAAACAGAGGCATTTTATATTCAAAGTACAACAAATACTTAGCGATTTACGTTGTTTTTTTTTCGCTGCAAAAAGATGGTTGGTAGCATCATACAAACTTCGATTTCAAATATATGTGTAGATATTCAGTATCTTCAGTTGTTTCCGTCAACAATTTGAGTGGACACAAATTTCCCGTTTAAATTAGAGAATCGAAGTTTTATACAACCCGCAGTGATGCTAAAGTAAACTCTACTTTAAAATCATAGAACTGAACGAATTAATCGAAATAGCAAGAAAGGTGCCTGGTGTATACGGATCTCGGCTTACTGGTGGTGGATTTGGAGGCTGCACTGTGAACATGGTGGACAAAAACTGCGTTGGCGCATTGGAGAAAGCCATACGCGAGCAGTACAGTGGTAATGCTACAGTCTTTACCACAGAGGCAGGCGAAGGGGCTAAGGTTGAGCAATTTCCAAGTAAAAGTCGATAAAATTTTGATTCGAACACAAGCGGCTGGGAGGGTTTCTCAACCTTTAACCAGTAAACAATGCAAATTGTACTATTATGCGTATTCTAGTTGACATATATGATGTCAATCGGCGCAGTCTTGCTGTCCTTTTTTATCTCAGTATGCCCTAATGCCACGCCAGTCGTAGGACATTGATCACCCCTTGTATTTAACTGGCTCTATCCCAACTGGCATATGTAGCCCATGGTTGTTCTACTCATCTTCCTTTAAACCGGTGCGGATTGGTTTTGAGGAAGCATGAAATTCCCAATCGATATCTTGAAATGCCGATAGAACACTGTAATAGTTGCCCGGCCAGTTGCATTGTCATTCCGTGACGCAATACATACATGAGTACGTCAAAGCAACTCTGAAATTTTTCATCAAGGTTTCAATATCACAATTTCCTGATATAAATCAATAACCACTCGTCCGGGTCTGATATTCTTTCTCGTTATGTAACGGTCATGAGATCTACATACCTCTTCATTTTATTAATACTAATTTAACGCATAGCCTTCAATGAACAGTCTATACTTCATGTGATGACTGCGCTGCCACGATCCAGTAATACCTTACTACTTGCATTTAAACACTATATTTTTTATATCACAACTTGTAGTGAGTTAATAAAAATGCAATATTTTAATAATTCAATGAAGATCTTTTCATTCAAAACATCCGACGAAGTAGGGGTGACTATGTCCGCGTGTGTGTCGATCTTGAGTGTCGCCTTGTATTTATTTTTATATAATCATACTGTTGCCTGTTAGGTGACTTCATTGAGATACTATACTCTGATAGATGATTTGTGATAAATTCATGATGTCAGACACTCATTGAGATCTCAGTATCATGAATTCATTTTCAGATGTGAAGATGTGGACTGCCGGCCGCTGGCCCTTGCCCCGGTGCAGCGGGGGAGACTTTTTTTGTCGTTTCTGTCGAATTCAGAACTTCAGAAGGCTGTTGTTGTTTTTAGTATTCTATGTACAATATCATTTCAACGAGATTGGAATTTATAATACGTGTTACTATGCTACTCTAATTGACATTACATCTGTCGTACGGCATTGCCGGAACCAATAAAACTTAGTATGCTTGCACATTGGAATGTACTCTATCACATCTATTTGTTTTAAAATATCCCCGCCTTGTCGGATTTAGAGTTTTACATAGACGCACTCGGACTCCCGTAGCCTCTGCCTCGGTGACTGGCAGTGATGGCACACTTTATTTACATTTTTCTCAAGTATCTATGTACATATTTTTTATAAAAAAGCTCATATAACAAAATTCTATTTGTATTTAATTTTTATAAAACACAAGTTCTTCAAATTACAAAACTATATAAAAAAATTGACATCGAAAAACAGAAAATAAAAAATGATCCAAAAAGGCTAAACATAGTTTTTGTTAAAAAAAACAAACCAGTATGCCTGTATGTACATATGTATTTTTACAAAACAAATCACATTTAATAAAAAATATATATATAATATATTCTGTCTCCTATCAGTGCTAAATATGAGCACTGAGCAGTGAGCAGTGAGCTATCACTAAATATGTTTGCAATTATTTTTGGTTATTTTTTCTAAAACAATTTATTGGCTGCAGCCTGCATAAATGGTGCATATCACTAGTACCGAGAAATCCTATGAATCATAGGATTTAAATAAAAAATGGCCCTAAAATATGTATTTACATTGCTTTCTCTTTTTTCTTCTTTTTTTGGGGGGGGGGTTCCTGTTGTTTATTTTTGTGTTTTCTTTTTAAAAACAAAAACTAAACAACAAATAAATTTTTGGTTTGTTTTTTCTTTAAATATCGTGCCGCTTTAGACTTGAATAGTTGTTGGAACTTGGAACTTGGAAGTCTGCACAGCAAGAAGAAAAGTTCGCATCAGCCCACTTGCCAATCTAACAATCTTGGCCTTCACTCGGGATTTATTTCGTGTGTCAAAATCACATAAACATTTTATTTTTATGGAAATATCAAATATGAGCATGTCGTGCGTATGACTGCTATACGCGATTATTTTAGAGCCAATAAAACTTTGCACACTCTTGACTCTACGAAACACAATGATGTACAGCGATTTTTTAGAATTCAATACAAGAGTAAATCGTATTTTAATTTTTAGTAATAGCTTTTATATGAAGCCTTTTTTTTTCTTCAAATCAGTCAGGTCCAGCCTCCAAGACTCTACTCTACTACAGAGAAAGTGTGTCTAACTGTTCCTACTGTAACCCCCCCAGCAGAGAGGGCAGAGAGAGAATAGAACTCTTTGGTCAATACGACTCTACGACCCCATAATCCCATATAGTAAACGAGCTTGCATTGCGACTTTTTAACATTTCGACCACACAGACACACAAGAGCAAGAAGAGAGAAGAGAAGAGTAAATACACAACACACAACTCAAGCGAGAGAGAAGGTGGTCAAGAAAGAAAAAAATCTAGACTCAAAGGGTCAAACCAGTAACCAGTAACCACTATGGCACTAACCACAACCTCGGAATTTCCACACAACAAGTGCACAACACTGTAACGTTTGTGTGAAGAAGAAAAAAATCATATTTGGGGTGAACCTAAAATCATAACCTCCTATTAGAAAAGAACAAGCTAAAGCGCTAACGATAAATCAAGAAAGATTAGAGCAAACCATCGGAAATTAATATGATGACTGTTGGGCTTGTAGTGTTTTAGACTATTTCATGAGAAGTGCAACTGTATAAACCATATGTTTACAGATCTGTAGCTACACTTTGATACCTCGCCTCTGTTACAATAGGTTTACAGCTCGTCAACTACAGACTAGCAGTAATAAGATATATGAAAATGAGAACCTGGGAAATCGTTGTGGAATGGGCGATAGGCCTCCTTGTTTTACAAGTATGTGTGTCACGCCGCACGTTGGAGTTGCTTATTCCGTCTTGTTGAATCCTAAGTATAAGAAGAGGAAACATTTTTTTCCTCAGGAATCCATTCCCATTGTTTGCCGATTATACAGTAGCATACTCGTGTACAGTGTGTACCGCGAATATGTAAATATACTATTGTTTCAGGTAACGTAATGTTGACGAAACTATATATTCTGCCACAGACAATATATATCAGCTGGCTGTGCCTTTGTATTATATATATTTATATATATATTTATATATATATATATATATATATATATATGTGTGTGTGTGTGTGTGTGTGTGTGTGTGTGTGTTGTGTGTGTGTGTGT